CTGTGCTTGGTTGCACTAAGCCTAAGGCACGTGGTGGTAGGTCAAGAACCCGGGGACGACTTCGTTAAGGCACACAATGCAGTTCGAGAGAAGAAAGGGGAGCGTCCGGTGTTCTGGGACGAAGAACTTGAAGAACATGCTAAAGCCTATCTCCAAACCAAGGTGGAAACTTGTGAGATGGTGCACTCCACAGACTCTCCTTATGGGGAGAACCTGGCGACGTCAAATGGGGATTTGACGGCGGAGGGTGCGGTGGCGGCATGGGCGGCTGAGGAGAAGTACTATGACCATAAAACCAACAAATGCGTGGGTGGTGAGTGCCGCCATTACGTCCAATTGGTGTGGAATGCCACTTTTCTTGTGGGTTGTGCCACTGTTAAGTGCCATAACAATTGGACTTTGGTTGGATGCAATTATAATCCTGCTGGTAACATTGTCGGCGAGGAGCCCTATTAGTTCATCATCATACCTTCTTCATCAACCTTTATTCTTTCAATATTATTACTCAATTTCCTTTCTAAAATATTATTACAACCATTCTTTGTTTCAATTTGTGTACTTCATTTTCCTTTCTTAAGTATTATTACAACCATTCTTTGTTTCAATTTGTGTACTTCATTTCAATTCTATTGCCGGGTGAACCCAGTTATTCGATTTTCAATGGTGTGCCTCTTCACGAGTGCCTTTACGAGCTTAACCAATTAAATTCTATACTTAATATGAACTTTGTTTAATCGGTTGCTTTTATGAAAACCAAATCATTTAATCGGTTGCTTTTATGAAAACCAAATCATGTCCAATCCTTTAATATTAAACTCGACCTTTGTATACAAGTTAGCTATCTATTTACTCACCAATTCTATTAAGTTTTGCTCGTTAGTATTAAGATAAATGAAAATTACATTTATATTTGTGTTTGAAGTTGACTCAATTTTCTTCCTTAATTTTTTTGAAATTTCTTTCTTCCTTTCCCTTTTAGGAAGGAAGGATTAAGAAAATCCTTTTGATTTGGTTGGTTAGATTGAAGAGAATCTTTTCTATGATCAGATTCGTGCATGACCATGCTCCGTCTATCTTATTTAATAGTATGAAAATGCATTCATTTCCTTTGCATTGACTCGATTTATGATACTACCGAGTGAAACAAGGGATCTAAAGAACATAGGCTAGACTCTATTAGTAACGAGGTCTTTGTAAGAACAGAATTTGGTGCAATGTTTCCCAGGGGAGGATTAAGAAAATCCTATTGATTTGGTCTTTCTTTAAAAACATGAAAAAAAGGCTCGAATGGTACGATCCTTTTCCTCACCCTAGAATGAATGGTACGATCCCTCCCCTCACCCCAGAATGAATGGATCCTTTCCCTCACCCTAGAATGAATGGATCCTTTCCCTCACCCTAGAATGAATGGTACGATCCCTCCCCTCACCCCAGAATGAATGGTACGATCCTTTTTTTTTTTTTTTTTTTATTGAGACTGAACCTAAACTTGTTCTCATCTATATACTAAGATAGACTTCCAAATATTAAATAGAAAGTTGGATCTACCTTCATTTTAAAAATAGAAAAAAAAATGAGAGCTAATGTAACAATTAAAAATTAGAAAATATGAGATCAACCCAATTTGATACCAATGGGTATGATCAACCCAACCCAATTTATATCTGAAGTTTTCAAAATGGTCAGTTTATAGTTTATAGATTACTTCAAGGTCACTCTCAACTTTAAGGCCTCCAAAAATTCATAACACACTAAGATTGAGTCGCATACAATCATCTGGTTAAATGTTAATATTCGCAACTAACGAATTTATAAAGAGAGGTTAAACATTTCATGGTTCGATCTTTATATAAACTCGATTTTTATGTAATGGATAACTCAATTTACAACTATAATAATCAAAATTATTATTAAAAATTAAATAATTAATTATGAATCTTTAAGACATAATTTCGAACAAGGTCTTTCGGAGACATGAATCATAAGACATACTTTATATTCAATAAACTCCCATATATATCTAATACCATCAAAGTAGACATACTTTATATTCAATAAACTCCCATATATATATCTATATACCATCAAAGTAGACATACTTTATATTCAATAAACTCCCATATATATCTATATACCATCAAAATATTGATACAGTTAGTTAATAGGTTAATTTTGTCACACATGCTTTTGAGAAAAATTGATTTAGGTCCCTCATGTAATATTTATTGTGTATGCATCTCTAGTCCCAATAAGAGATTATTCACTAGGTATCGTTAACACTCGAGTTTCCAAAACTCTTTTTTCGAGTAAGGACAAAGACATACAAAGCGTGTGACGAGCTCAGTTGTCTTTGTATTTTGTTCTTCGGCAAGTTTTATTTAGTTTTTTCTGTTAGATTTTAACACTTTTTATAATTTTACATTAACTAAAAGTTATTTATATATCAATGATAAATTCAATTCAATAGATAAATGGATTGACTTTTCAAGTTCACTACTAGTTGTTCACGATTTTAAAATGTGTGTTAGGGTCGGTTAGGGAGTGGTTTCTCACAATCCGCCCTTACCCCTTTAGAGGCCATGACTCTAATACCATTTATAACAACCTAAACCGCTTATAAAAAAATGTTTTGTTACTCTCTCCGACCAATGTTGACTCAAATAATTAACATAGCTTACGTTGAGCTTGGCCATTGGTTCACATGGCTACAAAGCCCTATAACTGACATAGCCTACCAAGATCATTGCGGCTGCCAATGCAAAGCCATGGTTTTTAATAGCACCTCTCGTGGGCATTGCCCATGTGAGTGAGCATCGCTTTCATAATCTTTTCCTTTATTTTATCTCCAAAGTTATAAGAACATGCATGTCAACATCTAAGCTTTCTTTTAGATTTGTGGGCTTTCTATAAACTATATACCCATATTTTATTAATAATTCATATAAGTCAAAAATTAAAGTGGGGTGATCCAAAACTTTATTGTTTAACCACAAAATACTGGTGTTCGTGGATTGCATTGAGTCGGGTTGAGACATTTTTTAAATCTATCACAATTATTCGAGTTGTTCAATTTTCAACCTAAATAACTCTCGTTAAATATTGAATCCAACCCAAATCAACACAACCATGATTTTTTTTGGATTGGATTAGATTCGTGTACAACCCAAACCTACTAATAGCAGATATTGTCCAATTTGGCCAATTACGCATCATCATCAGAGTGAGTCATCAAATGGTTTAATGTATTAGTCGGAGTAGGGCTAGACCCTCTCATAGTAGACGCGTTTAAAAATCATGAGTATGACGGTGATATGTAACGAGCCAAAGCAGCCAATATCTGCTAGCGGTAGGTTTGAGCTGTTATAAATGGTATCAGAGCTAGACACCAAATGGTGTGTCGGTAAGGATGTTGGGTCCTTATGGGGGTGGATTGTGAGATCTCATATCGGTTGGAGAGGGAAACAAAACATTACTTATAAGGGTGTAGAAACCTCTCCCAAGTAGACGCGTTTTAAAATCGTGGAACTTACAACGATACATAACAGGTTAAAACGAACAATATCTATTAGTGACAGACTTGAGATGTTACACTCACGTTGTGCATATCAGTTATTCAAATTTTTATTTTTAATAAAACATTACAACAATTATATATTTAATAAAGTTCAAGCCATTATTGTCACGTCTATATCTCTTTTAATTTCTCCGATAGAATTTGGTTGCTTCATTATATTCTGGTTGAGACAATTAAATACAAGTTGAGATGTCAAGCGTTCTAGATTTCTTTTTTCCTTTTTGTAAAAAAATTTCTATATTTTCTTTTAATTTCCATTTTAGATTGAGATGTGAAATTTGAGTGGGCTATATTGGCAAATCTAGCAATAATTTTTTAGATTTATGTAATGATCCATACTCAAAATTTAGATCAAGATTCGAATTTGACACGTGATGGTCCCGACATCCTATGTGACATGGTCACGTTACTCTCTATTCCGCATTTGATGACCCTGACATCCTCTACGACATAGTCACATTACCTACTCCTCGTTTCTTAAGAGTAAAGACTATCCCCAATTTAGATCAGGATTCGAATTCGCACGTGATGATCTCGACATCCTATATGACATGGTCATGTTACTCCTTGTTCCGCATCTGATGACCCCGACATCCCCTGCGGTACGGTCACATTACCTACTCCTCGTTTCTTAAGAGTAAAAACCAACCCCACAGACCAATACAATTCCTTACTCCTTGCTTCATAAAAGTAAAGACTATCTCCACAGATCAACACGACTTTTTCGTGGGATGCTTTATCCTCACTCGCATGCATCCCAAGAAAATTCATAAGAGGTTACTCAATATAGAATTACTACAAGTAAAGCACGTTTAACCATAAAGTTCCTATGATTGAGCTATGGAAAGGAAAGATGTATCTGATTGGTATAAGTAGTAACTTTCAATTCTTTCAAACTTTTCTTAGTCATTCTATCATCAAGGATCGCTCTCATTTAGATGCCCCTCGTTTACTCGGGTGTCATAATTTACAAGTATTTCTTTTTGTTTTATTTATACCAATTTTACTCTTGTCGGTATATTTACAACTTATCCTACAGTATATCAATACTCATTCGAAATTCACTTGAAATTACACGAGTACCGATATATTACCGATACAGTAATGATATACATAAAATGTAATTTATATTAGTATTGGCATACTATTGAAACACGATATTATACTTTATATGCATTTCGAACAAGTATTGTTGAACTGTTCATACAGTAATGCTTCACTTGAAATTCTATATTCAAATGAGTGCTTGTATACTATTTATACACCAATTTCATACTTGAAATCAATTTTGAATGAGTATTGATATACTACTCGTACATTAGTAGTATATCGAAATTTAAACATTAAGACGTATAAACTACTCATTATACATATCTATATCTATATATATATATATATATATATATATTTTGTAAAATACATGCATATTATCAATAAGAACATCATAAAGTTCTTTCTTAATAGATCCCCCAAGTTCAGTAAGGATATTGGCCTACATAATTTCCAGGAGGATAATAGCTGCAGATCACAAAAACCCAATTGTTCTCACATTTCACTCTAGCACACCCGATATTCTTAGTGTTCCTCCACACTATTTGTGTATAATGACCGCACTCGTCCCCGACGCATCGATTCAAATGGTGGTTGTAGAACTTTTTCTCGGTCGCCCAAAACTTCACTGCTTCCACGGCGGTCATCTCGCCGTACCCCTCGGCAAGGTTTTCCCCATAAGGTCCATTAGAGTGCTCCATCTCGCAGGTTTCGATCTTACTATAGGCGTAATTCTGAGCATAGGCGGCGAGATTATCATCCCAAGAGACCGGTCCGACCCCGACTGCCGCTCGGATGTCGTTGTGGGTGTCGACGAAGTCTTCCGGGGAGTTTTGGGCGTTGGAGATGGGAGCTAGGAGGAACCCTACTAAGCATATGGTAGAGAGAATGGTGGGGGAAGCCATTTTCAAAAGGTCTTGGTGGAGGGGATTTGGGGTCCGGTAGAGGGCATTTATAGAGAGGGATTTAGTGGTTTTAAAGAGAAGGTGATTCTTTATTGTTTGTTGCATAATGGGACATTATGTCGATATGGGTCATGCATGTGTTCATCTGACCTACTTTTGTTGATAAATTTGCCACCTTATTTGGTAGGAAATTATTGCTTCTCATTGATGGCTAAGTCTTTCTAATTAATATGAGTTTCGTAACTATTTAGTTTTATATTTTCATCTATTAATATCTTTGTCGTAATATTTACACTAATTTATGGGTCTCAAACTAACGGATATTAGAGACTCATCAATTAGAATTAAGAACTAGTAAAAGTCTCATTGATCGAATCTGAACGGTGAAAATCGCAAAAAAAAAAAAAAAAAAAAA